CATTAATACAGCATTCAAGATGTATTAACCCTTTGTATTAACTATCTGTACAATCAAGTAACAAATCACTGCAATAACAAACTGCTCAAAAATGGTTTGTTATTGGTTTATAGGCATGGGATTTAAGAGTCAAACCAGAGTTTTCAACCTGACCTCTAGAACATCACAGTAAAGGCTTTACCATGATCATAATGCAGCAACACAGCTCCTTCTCAGAGATGAGACTCTAAAAACACATTGCTGTTTGGTTGTAGTGTTTCCCCATAAGAAACTCACCATGTAAAAATCCCTTTGAAGTTATTTTAAGAAGCAGTCAAAGGAATCAGGATATTTTCTTTAACTGTGGAGCAAATGAAGGCATGTGTTAGTGCTGTGTTGTAACTGGGCTGGTGAGGCTGCTGGGAGAGAATGATTTCAGCTGTATTTGCTAAATCAAGGCCTTAGGACTGACTGGTGAAAATGAGTAATTTGAAAAGTACAAGCTCAGTTTGTACTTCTGCTAATGGACACAACACATCTCTTGCCTACTGGAAACTCATGAGCTGGAGCACATCTTTCCTCCTCCATCTCAAACCCAACAGAGATGGCTATTCTTGTGTGGCCTCCATGACCCAGTTACACAGATTTAGATAACCATTTCCAGACCATTTTTGTACTTCCTCACACAGACTTTTCCTACAGATGACCTTTGGGAACTGGAAATTCTGAGTGTTGTGGACAGAACATGACTTCCTGACTGCTACTATAAGTGAACCTTGAAACAGCAGTCCTGCACAATAGCCCAGAAAATAAAACATGTGAATAGTTAGATTTAACAAGATATTATGTTGAAACAAATAAAGTAACAATGATCAAGGGAAGCTGAGGAGTCTGATCCTTCAGGACAGAACACGAACTGGTGTTCGTTCTCTCTTTCCATTTTTATCTTCTGCTGTTGAAAGCAGAATTTCAAGCACTTTCAAATCAAGATTAGTAAAAATGGGGAGGCAGTGTCTTAGGCAAGGGGGAAAAAAAAGTGAAACTGCAGAAGTCTTTACCACTGGAATAGAACTGATAATTTGTAATTTGTAAGATATCTCTTAATACTCATCACAAAGCACTTGGGTCCAGATTAGAGAGATCCCAGCATTTTATACAGCATTTTTGCAGAAAATGGGAGAAATAGAAAAGCCTGTTGGGAAAAGCTTTAATATTTCAGTTGAAAGAGATAGAAAAAACTGGAAGACAGCATGCCACTTCCCATAACAGTGACAGTCAGCTGCAAACATGCAAGCAGAAAGCACAGGGAGGGAAGGAACTCCCACGAAGGTTGGGATTAGCACTCTGAGGGCAGGATGATTTCAATTAAGGACAGTGCTGACCCAGGCGTGTGTGAAAATATCTGTAGGAGAGAGTAAAATTCTTGGAAATTTCCCCTCACAACTTCTCCTGCCCGGGCACAGGCTCTGGTGCACAACCTTGCTCCTGGGCATGTGGGCTGGGGTGAAAGCATGAGCAGAAAGATTGATCCTTTGTTAGTGCTGCACAGCCCAGGTCGTCCTTCTCTTGGTCTTTGAGATTGGTGATGGCCCAAAGAATACAACAAGTTGAGCTAAAAAGCTTTGACAGACAGTGGAGGCAAAAGGGTAAAAAAAAGAGCCACTGTCTTTGTACTAATGGCTTTTTGCCACTGTACTAAGTGAGGAGTACAGTCTGTCTTCAGAAGTATAATTAGCATAACAGGGCAGCAATAGGCAAGCAAGAAGGAGGGAGAAATGCTGATGTCTGCTGAGATGTCTGACTGCAGTGGGAGGGTTTTTACTCCCTCTGCCTTGAAGCCTCGTCTTTGAGCACCACAATGGGAATTTCTGCCCTTTGAAGGACTGCTTTGAAGAGCTGCACTTGAATAAAGATATCAGATATGTACCACAGATAACTTGCTACAAATACCTCTTCCCAAAACCTCTGGTGTACTCTCCTAATGAAATAAATGTGTTTTTTCCATGCGTGTGTTTTCAGAGGTGCACATCAGGAGTATTTAGGCACATGAAATCCTGAGCACAGCAAGTCAGTTGGGAGTCCTGACACAGAGCAGCAGGTGCTGTGCTCTGCTCTCCAGCACTGGCACCAGCAGCTTTCCTGCTTAACCCAAGGGATCTCTGTATCCTTCAGGGAGAAGAGGAAAAAAGGGTGACCAGAAAGAAAATAAATCTGCTTGTCACCACTGGGGCAAAACAGAGGTAGACAAATTCATCCATCTCACAAGATTCCTGTCACCGTCTTCTCTACAGCTTTTATTTTTTTCCCCTTTTCCAGTACATGTGTGTAGAGAAGAGCAGCAGAATGATGAAAGATGAAAGAAGAATGAGTTGAATGACAAATTCAGTAGATATTATATAATGAACACATTCTTCAGAATCGTTTAGCAGCAAGATTTATCTTGTATAAATAAGATGGAGGGTTTCAGCGTGGCATGGAACCATTTCTGTCCATCTGGCTTTGCAAGGAAATTACATGGGGAGAGTAGAATTACACTTCAAGCAGTAAAAAGAAAAGAATCACGGAAATGATATCAGTAAGAGTAAAACAAACAAACAAAAGAGAATCCTGAATAACACTATTTAAAAATGTGGAGCTGTACTAGGAAATTTAAAAAGAAGCGAGAACTGATGGAAATGAAGAACTAAGCTTTGGGTTTAGTAAACGATGCTTAGTTGATTACACCCATATGCAGTCACTGATGAGCTCTTGAGCAGAACTGATGAAAAATTGGATTGTTTACATGTATTAAACCAAGCAAATGGGAATCTGAACTCAATGTGCCAAAAAACCTTGAGAATAAAAATGCTAGCAATAATTGCTACATTTTATGTGTCAATGGCATGCCAGCAAGGATTCTGCATCAAACTCTGACCAATAGAAAAAGGTTGGGTATGTGAAACTGTAATATCACTTATCTACCAAGCAGGCCACCTGATGACTGACAACTTTAATTTTAGCGTGAAATTGGCTGACTAGCTGTTGAAACATCCATCCCTTCTGACAGGGATAGTAGTCTCTGGATATTTACTACTAGAACCTTCCACAGTCGTCCTCCTGCTCTACTCATCTTCATTTCAAGCAGCAAAGCAGCCTTAACTGAAATTACAGCTCTCCATCAATAAATGGGGCAGTGATGAGAAAATGTGTTGGGGGGTTGTGTACCCTAAATGAGGCCTTTGAGGTGGGTGTGTGAGTTAAAATCAAAGAGACTTTATTTTACAGGGAACAAAGATGAGGATCAGGAACACAGATTTTTGACCAGAGTCCTTTTAGTGTTCTTCACAGATAAAGGCAGGCCCACTAAAAGAAAAAAGCTTGACTTTATTCTTGGGCTGCATGTATATCATCTTGCATGAAAATCTACAAATATAATCTCACCTCGGGGTAATAGCACATGTTACCTCAGAGCACCTGCACAGAACACTATCTTTTCAAAATAAATACTAATTGAGTGAGAGAATAGTCAAAATAACCATCATTATTGTACATTTACTATCTTTCTATATACTGAGTGTTACAGTGCACTCCTGCCTGGACAGAAGAGATATTTTAGTCTTACAATATCTGTGCTTTGGTGAGGTAGGAGAAGAGTGTGTCTCATATTTAAGCTGCAATCTCATAGATATAAATACTTGACATGGTTCTGAAGCCTATTGCTTCGAATGTCTTTGCTTATATAGAAACTTCATTAGTACTTGCAATCATTTAATTAATTCTGATTTTGATATTTGCCATCCTCTCTGGGTGGAGGCAATGTTTACAGTTGCATGACAATTAAAACATAACCCAGAGGGCAAATTCCCAAATCCTTCCAAATCAAACCTGAATCGTCAGCTCCTTCCTCCAGAGCAGTTTTCTACCAGAGAAGCCACCAAAAATTCCAGGGACTTTGTCACAGGACCATGTGATTTTGCTTTCCTTCCAATTCGGTATTTAATCATACTAAGAGTTCTCCAGAGCAGTCCAGGGCTCTTCTAAAACATTTGTTTTCACAGTGAAAAAGGTCCATAGAAGACATCCCTCCTTTAACTGCAACAAGGGACTGTCAATCAGCCTATTCCTGAGAGACCAAGACAGCCATTCCCTTAGGGAAAGAGGTGACATTAAAACAAACAAACAAAACAAACAAACAAACAAAACCAAACAAAAACCCATAAGTTGAAAATGTATCTTACAAAATAAAGATCTTTCTTATGACTTTCTGGCTATTAGGGTCCTATTTACCACTGTGCTTGTGCTGGTTTTGCTGCCTGGTGCCCCACAGTAGCTGTAAACCTTACCCATAACAGCTCTGAAGTGACTTTGCGGTGCCAAAGCAGGGCACAGGATACTGATGGTGTTTAACATTCCTACAAATGCCATCTAACAACGGCCTAAGGGAATGGTAATGTACATATGAAACCTAAATGCTGCATTGACTTTTGGATTGCAACAGAAGGCTTCCACAGAATTGAAGGATTACTTCTAATTTTTATTCAGAAAGGAAAAAATAGAACTGATGAGTATAACTGGTACACACAGAGTATGCTGAACGCTGCCTCAGCCCAGAGACTATTAGCACATAATTAATTGAAATGGCTTGGCACTTAGGCTTATGCTACTGACACTAGGAGAGCTAATGTTGGCCCACTTTCCACTCTCATTATAATCCATGTCGGCAGGATGGACACATTTGAAACCATTTCCTTCTCTTTGTTACAGTATGTGCCAACAGCAAGAGAAATTGGTGCTGCAGAAGTGAGAAAACCTCTCTAGCATTGCAACGGAGGAATAAATTATTTTCTGGTGCAGAATGTGATTGCAGCATAATTTGGTAAAAAGAAATTAACTCCTCCTCCTGATATAGTCCAGGGAATTGTTTTGTGGAGATATGAAATGATAAGTAATGAGGGATTCCCACAAACTTGGTTACCATAAAGCCAGGCTTGGGTGAGCTTGAGGTGCTCTCTCTCCCCACGCTTATAAGTTTACAAGCTTACCTGTTCTAGGACATGTGCAGTCATCTCTCAGCATGAAATTGTTCCCTCTTTCCAGAATCAGACCTTCAGAGAAGAACTTCCATTTCATTTTTCAAATTTTTCATTTTTTCTCATTTCATTTTTTCCTTAGGGAAAATTAATTGTTTCTTAAGGATGAATCTTAAAATTCTTTTCTTAAGGACCCATTCCTGAAAAAAAAAAATAAAAAAGAAGAACAGGTGTTCAGTCAGCCCTCAGTGCCTGGTAAATAGCACAGTGACACACACTTGCAGGTGAGCACCCCAGGCAACTGCCAGAACTTCTTGCCAGAGCATCCTACCAAGTTCAGCCTTGTACAGAGATGGGGGTCTCCTGCTATGGAAAACAAAGCAGGAAAGGTAGATGGGTATAATAAGGAAACAGGAAATTAAATAAAAAATAGCCAGATTTTTGTAAGCTCCATGATAAAAACTTTCAGCTTGTATCCTGGTGTGAAAATTTATCCACTTTCAAAATCCACTGTATCAGATTAGACTTTTTTTGCCAGAAAATATTTTCTTCCCCATTCTTGTAGTCTAAGACTGTAGGAAACCCAGAGGGCTCCTGCTTTTTGAGGTTTAAGGACAAGGACTTGCTCTGACATTACATGCAAAGGCAGATGGGCAGTGTGGGTACATCCTCTGAGCCCCTCTGACCTCAGGGGGGCTGTGCTGTTCCCCCAGCCCAGGCTCCATCTGCAGCACAATCATCCTGACAATACCGAGGTTTGTGTATCTACACATCACATTAAATGCAACTCTTGAGGATTTATTAGTGTTTCAGTGTCACCAAGAGCTGATTAATTATCGAGGATTTCCGCATAGCACCTAAAGGGAGAGAAACTTTGAAGAACAGCACCACCCACACCAGTGGTGCAGCAGAGCGCTAATTATTTCTCCCTGTGTCATCGTTGTTGCCATCAGAGGGGACAGCTGGCATTTCTCCAGCCTCCAGTACTCCTGGTAATAAGGAAGAGCATCTCAGCATGCTGCATGTTAGAAGGAGATTTAATGTGCTTGCTGAATATTGTATGGAGTTCCTGATTTGTGTCAGCAAGACCTGCTAATTCATAAGAAAAAGTGTCATCGGAACTTATTTTACATACATTTAAACACAGGTAAATTACACTGGGGAAAGCCTGGCTGCAGCCATTAGTACTTACTGCACATTTCCTCTGACTTGAAAGGTTGCTAAGGGATGCACTGAGGTACAGACAGACCTCAGTGTGCAGCCTGCACAAACACACCTAGGATACCTGGTGCTGTTCTCGAGGAAAGCTCATGTATCTTATTCCTCCTGCTCCTCTCTTTGCAGAGTAACCTCCTAAGATTCTGTCCCTCCTCGTGCTCCCCATTCCTGCAATCTCTGCACAGACTCCTGCTCCTCCAGCATCCCCTGGGCTTCCCAGCAGCTTTGCTGATCCCGTGGTGCCGCTGGGAGCAGACTCAAGTGGCTTTTGCAGCTCCCCTCCCCTGTTGTGTTTATAAAACAAACCCCACATTTGCCATCTAAAAATCATTCTCAAAAATATGGAGGAACTCCACTGATACAAAACACTGTGTTTCTATTTACCACCACAAAGGAAAGCTACTGAAACCTGATGTGATGTGAGGTGGTGCACTTGGGTCCCTTGGGCAACACGGGGCTCCCTCCTGCACTGGGGGATGGAGCTGTGCCCTGCAGCTGTGATGGGCACTGCGGGTCAGATGGAGGGGAGGGAGTGGCTCATGTGGCTCCGTGCTGGAGTCTCCAAGGCTGCAACATGTATTTTGATACCACAAAATCCCAGAACCCTTCATAAAATATTCATCGCTTTTTTAATGCCACATCTTCTAATTTTAAAATTCAGCCCCTAAATAATTTAGCAGACTTATGGGGAAAAAAAAAAAGGGAAGAAAAACAATAAACAAGTCTCCAAGAAACAAAACCCCCATTGAGGTTGTGGCACACTTACTAAACTTGTCAAAGATTCCCAACATGTTACTTATTTCTTGTGAGAGATTTATAGCTGTGCCCACTACCTCCAGGCATTGAACCTTGCTGCTGCCCCAAATCCAGCAGTTAGTACTAATGGCCTGATCCTGCCAAAGGCAGGGTCATGCTTATGGGATGGGCAACAGCACGTTTGCAGGTTTGTGAAAAGTAGCTGGTGAGACCCTGCCACCAGCTTTGCCCCAGATTCCACTACAAGCTGCTCAAACTGTAGTTTTTGCCCACAAAACTTAAAATACAATTCCTCACTGGATGCCCTACATCCCTCCAAACTTTCACTTTTTCCTTGTGCAGGAAAGGCTATCCCACAGAAACAACCCCAAGTGGCCTTCTCATACTTATTTATCAATACACAAGAAGACTGCCTAGTCTTAAAGATGAAATTATACTATAAACCTCACAAGCCCTGTAGCTATTTTTCACTAACTAGATTTTGCCTCTGTGGTTTGTTGCTGTTCAGGGCTGCCTTTGCATAGGTTACTCTTCTCAATGCAAACTCGATTCACCTCTCACTGCAAAAGCACAGTATGTCTCCTGAAATGGTAAATATGCCAGCTAACTTTCCCAATTTAATTAACTTTTCCCCAATGGTCTTGCTTAAATAGACTTCAAAGTTCAAAAGACAAAAAACCGAAAAAGACCAAAAAAAATTATAATACACTCCACAAAAATGGGGAAAAAATGAGTTTCCATTAGCTGGTGTTGAAGTCATGGAAACTCCTGTGCCTAGCGGCTGTTTTGCCTTTTATAACATCAATAATTTAGTGCTTAATTGTTGCGCATTATTTGGTTAAAGCAGATTATGACTCTAACATTTGCATTTATTTGTCAGCAACGGTGAGATTGCTCTTCCTCAGTAAAAATACATTTGGACATTCATTTACTCTGCAAACAAAATCACAGAGTAGCTCATCTCTAATGCTACTGTTCAACCATTGAGAAATGAAGCCTCTCTCTTTTGGTGTATGATGAGAAATGTCTGTTTATTACCAAGCCATTTTGATGACTTCTGCATTGCACTTTCAAACCATTTAAAAGCCATATTTTTAGGGTAATCTCTGGGAATAATAACCCCATTACATTGTGCTTAAGCTTTCTTGGTGTATCTTCAAAGGGCAGGAGAGGTTTCTTAATGCCTTTCATTTATCAGAAGAAATTAAACCCCTCTGGAGGAGTCTGGATGTAAAGGACAGTGCTGTCATCCTTCAGGACAGCAATGCACCCAGTGGCACCCTGTCACTTGTCACATCTTAGAGGACTTTACAGACTGCAAGGCTGTGGCACAGTTTTCCCTTTGAATTAAGAACCACATGGAGCCCACAGGCTTTATTTGACACGGGTGGAGGGCAGGGTAAAAAACTACTGAGTACCTTGAGACTGTCCCAGGACAGAGAGAATGCCCACCATGAATCTGCAAACCCCAGGGGAGGCTCTCTTGTGTTTCCCATCCACCCTGATCCAGGTTTGTCCTGGGGACTTCTGCTTTCCCCTCTGCCCATCACATTGCCAGGCTTTGTGCCAGCCCCTGCAGGAAGGGCAGTGCCCAGCTCATGGATTCTCCTGCACCAGGACAGTCCTCCCTGATCCTCTCAGCTCTTAAGATTCTGGCTGAAAATCCCATCCGCTGCTAATCACGGGGTATTATGATGTTTTCACCCCAGAAGAATTAAGGCTTGACTTAACTTTCCGAGAATATCACCTGCAGTCCTGCAAAGTCCTGCAAAGGTGGGAACTACTCACTCAATGCTTAGATCACCATCATAGCAGCAGGAATGACAGCAGAGATCTGAGAGGGAGAAAGGGTCTTTCAGGATTAGAGAGCAAAATGTGAACTCTTCTAGAATTAAGTGGCACAGAACATTCACCTGCTGTTTTAAACCCACCAATCTTGTAACATAGAGCACTCCTGAGAGCCTCATCAGAGCGGTCACTTTCAACTGTTGATTTAAAAAAAAAAAAAGGACTGCTGTACCCTTACACTTCTTTTACCAAGATGTACAAAAAACCTCCAGAAAAGATGGGAGGTAGAGATTTCAAAGTAAGCAATTTGGCTTCTCAAATTTTATGGAGCCTTTCTATACTGATGCCCTTTTGAACACACCCCGATGAAGAAAGGCAAGAAGTAGGGACCATGAACTCTGTGTAGAGATACTTAAATTCGACAGTGTTAATAGCTTTGAAAAGTTTACAGGTTCAAGGGGAGCACCAGTCCTGTGACACTTTTGATAAGGCTTGAATCTGCAAGCGTTTGCACACAGAGCATAACATTTCCATGGCCACACTACACACAAATCTGTGTTTTGCAGAACTCCAGTGAATTCAACTCTGACAGCAATTAGTCTCACCACCTTATCATATACTACAAAAAGTCAAGTCCCACTGAATATCAAACTAAAGGTTGGATTTTCTGAGGTTCTCACTGCCTGTTCAGGCATCTGTGCAGATTTTAAAAATGTGCATTAATGAGACTCCACGGAACACTGAAGTTACTGCAGAAAAATTGACTTCATGAACTGCAGGTTATGATCCTACTGGGAATGAATTTGTTTGTGTGTTTTGGGTGGTAGGTACACTGTCTGCTCTCTGGAAATAAGCAGCCTGAGCAAACTCTGGTACTCGCTGAGCTAGAAGATAACATGCAGATTGATTACAAGCAACCGTAATAAAAACTAGAAATCCTCAGGAACAATAAATGCCCAAAATACAACTTGAATCCCATTTAGGGATGAGAATAAGCAATGACCTTCAACACCTTTTGATAGAAATATGTGGAAGGTGGCAATCTGTCTGCAGGCAGCTGGGTGAGACGTGATTAGCAGGGACTGTGTCAACCTGCAAACTCCATTTTGGACGAGGATCTCTCCTGCTGTCTTTTACCTCTGCATAGCAATAATACCCACAGAGGTGTCAGGAGACAATCTTGCCCCTGGTGCAGAGCTAACAAGGATCATTAAACCCTGATGAACATCCATTTAAATTGATCTTTCTTAGTCAAAAATTTGGCTTCTGTCCAAGGCAGCTGCTTCTGAACAAGCGGCTACACCGGTCAGAGAAGGCTGGGAAGACAGAGCGAGATGGGCTAAAAACAGACAGGAGGCAAAAACAAAGAGGGGACCTATGT